AGAATTCATATGCGTCCCAGCACGCAATTTGATAGAAACAAGGTTAGGAGTACGTACTGAGGTCATTACAATTGGGGGCTGTTCCGGGAACTGAATGGCTAACTTCCAATTCCCTTTGAAACGGAGTTACCTTTCTGAATACATAAAATTTTTTTCTTTCATACCAAATACCCTGGGAATCATTATTCGTCTAGGAGGAAACCGACTGAAACAAACAACCGGAGGGATTAATTACGCCTGGTTAGTTGAAGGAAAATGGCAGGTCAGAAGAAAATATCGACAAAAATTTCCAAGGCGACAATTTCGGAGTCACGAAAACCTAAGTCAAGAAAGGAGGCCCCTGCTAAAAGGAAGAATAGTAACTTGGTGGAGAGTAAAGAAACAAATGATGAAGGGACAGGCATAATGTCAAGTGACTCGGAACCGGTTGCGAATAATAACTTTATGGAGAGTAAGGAAACGAATGTAGAAAGGGCAGGAATAATGTCAAGCAACTCGGAACCGGTTACGGATTGGAAGATGGAATTAGCCACCTTCTTCCGACAAATGAGGGATGAAGGGCGTGCAATAACCGAGGGAATATTGATGAAGAATAGAGAAGGGGCTGGAGAAGGTGTGAGAAATCAGAGAGAATCAGTGGCTGACCAAATATTCCGAACGAAAATGGCTGCGACAGAAGATGGGGCCGATATGCGGACCTTCCTTAGTCTGGCGGAGCAGGAATTTCGTGAAATGAAAATTGCAGAGGATCAATGGGGATTACTGGTGAGGAAATATTTAACTGGACGAGCTGTCAAGCAGTGGGATTATGTATATCGATCGGGAATAGACATGACAGACTGGCCTCTGGTACGTAAAAGACTTTGCGAAAGGTTCCGCGTATTACCGCGGGATAGTATGATACTTCAGATGAGAGATAATGTATGGAAGGGAGATTACAATGAGTATAGTAATGCATTTTCGGATATAGTAATTATGGGAGAAGAGTTGCCGGAAGATGATTTGTTTATGTTTTATCTTGCGGGACTACCTGAGAACATAGGAGATAAATTGACGAAACATGGAAAGAGGGAATTTCCGACTTGGCATGAAGCTGCAACGGCGTTGAGAGAATATGTTGTCCCGATGAATACTTGGCGATCGAAGAGGAAACGCACGGTGCGAGAAATGCAGGGTGTAGAAAGGCCGCAGGCCACGGAAGATAGCAGCTCCAAGGCGGACGGAGAGAGGAATACAAACAAAAACGAAGGCACTAACAGTGTAACGAGAAGGCCTACTCCGACTGTCAGGGTAGCTGCAGAGGGGGAACGAGACGTAATTCGATGTTTTGAGTGCACTGGAAGGGGCCACATGGGAAGGGACTGTCCCCTGTGCAATGGAGTAGTGAGACGGAGAGGAGAAACTTGCTCAAAATGCGGTGGGAAGGACCATTACGCTAGAGACTGTGCAACGACACGTCGAATATTGGTTGGAAACCAGAGAGTAAATACGGTTATGAACTCAGAATCGAAGGAGGGAGTAAACCGATCAAACGAGAAGGCCTAGATATTGATGGAGACAAGTGTTCTAGGCCAGAACTAATGAATGGCAGAGAGGGTCAGGTAGTTACGGGATCAATTGCCATTAAGATCTCCAAACCTATAAAACAAAGTACGCGGGCGAGAGACGGGAACGAATCGAACGGGAACGAATCGGGATCGCGAACTCAGAGGCATGTGATGCCGATGAGCGGGAGCAGAGATCGAGGAAGCGGGAACGGGAGCGGAACCATCGAGCGTGCATTTCGAACGGATAGGGAGGAAGTAGGGGAGGTAAGAGGAGAGGAATTAATTATACCACCGTGGATTTGGAGGGAAGGAGGAACAGAGGAACATCAACATCACGGGACTTTATGTAGAGTTTGCAGTGGCGGAAGAACAGCGGTGTTGCTGTTGGAGATAATCGGCTATCGTTGCGAAGGTTTATTGGATACAGGGGCGTCAAGGAGTTTTATTCAACCGAGTATAGTTGAGAGACTAGGGCTGAGAACGAGAGCTTTGACAGAGGAGTGTTCCTTTACCGTTGCAAATGGCGAAATCATTAAGATACATAGGGAGGTACCGAGACTAACAATAATTTGTGGGGGCAAATGTTTTACGGGACACTTTCTTGTAGGGCAGGTGCCGTATGCTGTGATTCTAGGGATCGATTGGCTTGATAAGTATAAGGTGGCGTGGTTTTTTGAGTCGGATAAACTTAGAACGTATGTAAACGGAAGAATGTGTAGTTTACCTGTGTTAAGGAGAGAGGGAGAGAGGCCTAAGGGATCTACGGGAAATCGGGAGTCGGATAAAACAGAAGCGGATTGTGCCTATGAGGAGTTAGCCAAACAAATATCTAAGATGACGGCTGAGGAAGCAGCTGTATTTTTACGTTCACCGATTAAGCGCTACAAGGCGAAGCATAGGAAGTCGGGAAGGATAAAAATAAAGGAAGTAATTAATCAGGCTAGGAAGAATACCAAAGAAATGAAGGGAGCAATTCAGGGATTAAACTGCATTGTCGTGCTGCCTGAAGCAGAAGTCGATGTAGACAGGCATAAACCGATTGTGAAACAGGGACACATGATATGCGCTATTATAGAACAGTCTGCGAATACAGAGGATCGAAAGCGAAATGCGAACTGTCTGTGGGATCAAGGGAAACATGAAGACAAGGAAGAATCACCCTGGCCTAATGCCATTCTGGAATTTACGGAATTTGACAAGTGGATCGAAGGCGTAGAGGCCCGTAGCTTACCTGCGCAAGTTCTTCAACTGTTGAGACAATATCGGCTTTTATTCCCTGATAGTCCTCCGAATGGACTTCCTCCTAAGAGGCCTTTTGACCACAGAATACTTCTTATTCCAGGAAAATTACCAACAAAGGCACCTATTTATAAAATGGCACCAGATCATCTGATTTATCACTCTAAGGAAATAGAACGACTCTGTGCAAAGGGATGGATAGGTCCAACTTACTCTCCAATTTGCGCTCCGACGATTATGGTAGATAAAAGAGATGATGGATCAGGGGAAAGGAAGATGCGCATGGTGATTAACTACCAAGCGTTGAATGCATTGACGACTGCGACGGAATTTCCTATGCCGTGTGTGCAAACAGTAATGGAAATGATAGGGGGAGCAACGTATTTCTCGACTTTAGACTTAGAAGCGGGTTTCCATCAAATAAGAATGGCGAGAGAAGACAGATGGAAAACTGCATTTAGATCAATTCAAGGGTTATGTGAATATAAGGTCATGCCTTTCGGTTTAAAGGGGGCGCCAGCAACCTTTCAAGCTAATATAAATGCATATCTTCAACCCTTACTTGGTCATGGGTTAATTGCTTATATAGACGACGTACTGATATATAGTAATACCTTGGAAACGCATGTTCGAGTGCTACATCAAGTCTTCGATATATTTCTTAAAAACCAGTTTTATCCGAAGTTGGTCAAATGTAGATTCGCCCAACGGGAGTTGACCTATTTAGGTTATACGATAGGTACTGAGGGAATTAAACCTGCAGCAGATAAAGTGGAAGCCATCAATTTGTGGCCAGAAAACCTTACTAATGAGACGCAGGTGCGTCAATTCCTTGGTACGGTTAATTATTGTAGAATGTTTATGGGCCCGAGATACGCAGATATCGCACGTCCTTTAGTGGAACTTACGCGGAAGAACGCACCCTTTGTCTGGACGGAAGAACACAGGAATGCACTCAGACAACTCAAGCAGCGTCTTTCTGAGTTTGCGATATTGCAAGTGCCAGATTCTAATAAACGCTTTGTACTTTATACCGATGCGTCGGGTTATGCTATTGGCGCAGTGCTTGAACAAGAAGACAAACCGGTTGGATTTCTTAGTCAGGTAATGACACCGGCTCAACAGAAATATTCAATATATGATCAGGAATTGTTGGCTCTTATATCTGCATTAGATAAATGGCGGCATTTACTTAGAGTTGCGAAGGTTACGGCGTTCACGGATCATCAAGCTCTTACCTTTCTTCAACGTGTAAATTCGCAAAAACCGTTGCGAGGCCGAACTGCGCGTTGGTTGGATTTCCTGGCTGAGTTTTCAGATCTCACAATTACCTATTTACAAGGAGCGAAAAACAAAGTTGCGGATGCAATGTCTAGGCACCCTCAGCATACAAATGGAGAATCGAAAAGACCAGATAAGATATTAGCTTCTCTTGTTCAACAGCAAGTAGAAACAGGTGTGCATCCTCGATATTCGACTCGGTTAGTTACTGGATCGGCGCCTCACACTGATTTTAGGGCAATGATAGGACGGCGTTCGGCTTTGAAGAATCAAAGGAGAGGTAGATTTGAGTCGCAACAGACATCGAGGTTGGCTGATGCGAATGTAGACAAGTCAGCGCAAGCTTCATCCACTTCTCGAGATTTAATATGCGACAACTCAACTTCGTCAGTTTTGTCAGCTGATGAGCAGCAAAACTCGTTCACGACTGCAGAGATTCTCGCTGAAGCCCCTTCGGCACCTGAGCATTTATCGCCACAACGTTGGAGGGAGGCTTATGAACGTTGTTCGTATTTCCGAGATATCGTGGCGGTAGCAATGCGTAATGGTGAAGAAGAGTTTGTGCATCAATTGCAGGGTCGTCGTTATTCATTCAAATTTAGGAACCCCTACTTATACGCGTGTATTAACGGGTTATGGCGTATTTGTCCACCTACCTTACCAGAGTTTCTTTCTTATATTCTATATTGTCATCACGACCATGTTACTGCAGGACATCGGGGTGTGCGCAAGACTTCCCTTTCTATCAGTAAGTTATATTATTGGCCTGGAATGAAGGCATATACAATCGCGTATGTCGAGTCGTGTGTGCAGTGTAGAGCATCGAAAACGATATCGCAGAAGCCGGCGGGGCTACTTCAACCTCTGCTCATTCCTTCAAGACGATGGAGTCATGTTAGTTTAGATTTTATAACTGACCTACCTCTCACTCCTCGGGGTCATGATTCTATTCTTGTTATTGTCGACTCACTCAGTAAGATGGCGCATTTTATTCCAACGAAAAAGTCAGCAACAACGGCGGATACTATAGAAATTCTGGCGGATAGATTAATTCGGTATCATGGATTTCCCGATGTCTTGATCTCAGATCGGGATCCGCGGTTTCAGTCTCAGCTGTGGCAGCTCTTATGCCAGCGATTTCAGATAAAACGGGCGATGTCTTCTTACCACCCGCAAACAGATGGTCAGACAGAGAGACTCAATCGAACATTAGAACGGATGCTTAGAACTTATATTCAGACTGATGAAAGAGAGTGGGAACGATTGTTGCCGGCATTGGAACTCGCATATAACACAACCTCACATTCTTCGACAGAGCTTAGCTCTTTTGAGGTTATGATAGGGCAAAATCCAGTGACTGCAGCAGATATGGATATTGTAGGAGATCTTGCACCTATGCTTACACCTCCAATGACGAAGGTATTTCAACAGTTGTGTGACAGAGCGCAAAGTCACATTATTAGAGCTAAGTGGCAACAGAAGTGTTATGCAGATGCCCGTCGACGAGATGTACAATATAATCCAGGCGATCGAATTTGGATTAACAGTCGCAATCTCCCAGGATTAAATCAATGTTCCAAACAGGAGCCCAGGCTCAGAGGACCTTTCAAAATATTGGAACGCATTGGTCAGGTAGCGTATCGTATCGAGTTGCCTCCAACATATTCGTGTCATAATGTTTTTCATGTTTCGCAGCTTATACCTGATCGCCCTCGGGATCCACAAATGCAATCCAAGGAAGCAGCAGTAGGATGGCTGCCGATAAAGGACAAAGATGGTACTCCCACTGACATATACGAAGTTGATTATATACTTAATCAAGGTGGTTCAGGAAAGGAGGTGCAGTATCTGGTTAAGTGGAGGGGTGCTCCAGAAGACCGCGCTACTTGGGAACCAGCGTCCAACCTCACAAATTGTTCCGCCCTACTCAGGGCCTGGCGCCGTTATTATAATAAAGTAAGGCCCAGTCAGGAGAATCGCAGGAATTAGTCGAGCGTTGTCTATCTTATAGGAACTGTGCATCGGGCTATTAATCTCGGGTTTTATAAAGGGGGGGAAGGAGTGGTGCATGATGTTGCACCACTTGCAATTCATGTTAGTTACAGGAGATGGAGAGAGAGGTAACGATGAGAAATGGGTGATAGCGATTTCTGTGCGTAAAGAAAGTAGAAAGGCGGTTGATCTGGAATTAAAGATATACAGAGGAACGCGAGTAGAGGGAGCAAGCGCAGAAGTAAGGTGGGGTATTGGTGCAGAGTATAATAGAAGTATTAGGGTGACCTAAATTTTGACCGAAGGGGGAAGTTGCAGTGCACTCGCACTACAAGGTATTGCTATTACTATAGATAGTTAAAATTAGTAGATATAAGGACTGAGAAAGTAAATAAGTACGACAGAAACTATAAATTTGAACTAATTTAGGCAAGTATGACGAGTAGGGCAGACGTGCTACTAAAGTAGCGGTCTTATAGTGAGATGGAGGCCTGTGCGGCGTAGCCGGGGTCGGCCGTTCCCCGCGGCTAGCGGCCCGTAGAGGGTTTGCTAGCGGAAGGTCAAGGGCCTAGGCGGTCAGAACATTTTCGNAGAATTCATATGCGTCCCAGCACGCAATTTGATAGAAACAAGGTTAGGAGTACGTACTGAGGTCATTACAGATCTCCTTCCGCTGTCCCGAAGCGTCCTGAGGGTTGAGATAAGGCCAGGGTGTTGCGGGGAGGAGGCAGCCTGAGATGGGGCTACAGCGCACCTCGCTGCAGCAGGTGATGTGAGCCAGCCTAACGTGTGCACACAAGAAAGTTTCAACGGAGCTTCCTTTACTGCATGTTTTACCTCTGTATACACTTGTGGAGCGGTTGAATTCACTTGGAGGCAATCTACCACGGACAAGTGAATACTCCTGTGGTATAAGTAGAATATATACAATCCACGCTATCTAGAAGAAAGCACACGTCCCGGTGTGCAGATGTCCCTGTAAAAGGCGATATAGCTAATGTGTGTCATCTGCTATAGCTGCTGGTGTTGCTGTTGATGTTGCTGCTGCTGTTCTTCCCTGTGCTGTTCCTGCGTGTGCTGGTCCTTCCTGCATGTACTTGCTCCTGCCAATCTAAACCAGCGAATGGAAGTATCCGATGCTCGGAAAAAGCCCAATCTGCTGCCTGTGCTGAACGCCTACTGAGAACCTATCGATGATGCACCTGTATTATTCAACATCTTCTGGCTGCTCCCCCCGGCAGCGGCATTTCCACTGCCATTTTCTTGGGAAGCAACACTAGAGAAAGGTCTCTTGAGGTTCGATGGTTCGAGGCGGGATGTTGAGGTGCCAAAGGGCGAATGGATCAACTTGATTCGCGTGCAGAGGGCATTCGGCTCGAAGCTGTGTCAGGTGCAACTATCACCCGGCCATTACGTAAATGCATGGCGTTATTTTCTCTGAAACTTGGTCTCAGAGGTCCACGGGCTCGTCGAATAGGTAGTTGTGGGGGGGAAATTTTTGTTTAAATTCTATTTATTTTCCGGAACGGCCCCCAAATGTAGTGACTACTGCGGGCTAACGCTGTCACTACGCACGTTTCCTGCCGATACCGAATAAGTGCACATACTGAGAGCCATCAGCTTTCCCACGTTTCTCGCTAAAAACTCTAATAAACGCTATTAATCAACCAAATTCACAGTCGGGTTCCAATTATTGTCAGGAAGAATACCCAGAATAATAGAACTGATGCCCGTTCCTCGCCGAGGGCCGGGACCTAGGTCTCTGCGTCTGCAGGCAACGAGCCCCGAGCTGGTCTCCGACTGGCGAGCACCCTGACCCCAGCATGTTGCTTTCTCGTCTAATTACGTTCAAATTCCTGATATAATGCATAGTATTCACTCCTATCCGTAATTCTAGACTTCTGGAGGCTACGCCCGAGCTCCCTTGTAGTGCCGGTGCACTACACCCGCTACATAGCGCGCAGTGTGGGGGAGGAAAGATACAAATAGGGAGTCAACGTAGTTAGCCCCCAGGAGCGTCGGGGTAGAAAAATAGAAAAATTTGCAGGGAGCTGACAAGGGATCCGCTAACATCTAGCCGCCCGTTGCCCACTTCCGCGACCTGCCTGCACGCATACACTAAGTGTTGGTGGTGCAAGGTCAAGGAGAGCGCTTAGCTGTTCTGCGGGGACCGCTTCCCGTAAGCGATCCTCCGAAACCCATTCAGGACCACGTGTGCCCAGCCATTTGACGTAGTATTCGCGTTTCCGATGGCCTTAGCGGGCGTTAATCCGCGCCTCGAGGATCTCTGTGTCCTCGAGGCGGGGAAGCTCGCGAAGTCGTTGCTGCGGTTTCCTCGCTAGAGTGCGAGGGAACCGCGGGGATTCCCGAAACTGTTTTAAGAAACCAACGTTAATAGTGGACTGGCATCTCCACGTTGACGAATCGAGGATGTACGCCAAGGTGTTGACCCGAGAGCGCACCGCGAAGGGTCCAGCCCATCGTGTGGCGAACTTTTTGGATTGCTCGCCCTCCTGCGCGCTAAGGGGGGCGTGTGAATCCACTAGAACCAAGTCACTCGGGTTGAAACTAATTGCGGAACGTCTTTTGTGGTAGTTTCTGGCATGACGTTCCTGTGCTTTGCGCATGCATTTCTTCGCTGCTGCAAGCTGTGTGCAGAACTCAGAAGCCGCAGTCGATTGGGTTTGGCTTCCAACAGCGAGCTGGAGCGGCGGATCAGCGAATGGAGTTTCCGTGTAGACCAGGGACGCCGGGGAACAGCGAGTGGACCAATGCACTGTAGTGCTATAAACCCATTCTGCACAAGCAATAAAATCAAGCCAGTTAGATGAGTTCTGTTGGGTGTAAAGCCGCAAATACTGCACCAGCGTGCGGTTAGTTCGTTCGGTCTGGCCGTCTGTCTCCGGATGGTTGGCGGTGGTCGTGTTGTGGTCGATGCTGAGCCGCTGCATGGGGCTGCGCCAGAAGGCGGTGACGAACATCGGATACCTGTCGGTATTGATGCTTTTTGGGAAGCCGTGGAGCTTCCACACATGATTAATGAATAGTTGGGCCACTCCTTCTGCTGTGACGGTGCTCGAACAGGGAATAAAGTGAGCATATTTGCCAAGCCGATCCAGCACAACATATATACTATCATGGCCTCTGACAGGTGGTAAGCCCACTATGAAGTCCATGGAGATATCCGTCCAGATCCTATAGCGAATAGGCAGGCTCTGCAGGAATCCGGGTTTGAGCGTGTTTCGCGGATTTCGGTGATGGCAGTCCGGACAAGAGNTGATGGCAGTCCGGACAAGAGTGGACGTACTCCTCGATTGAGGGGCTCATCCTAGGCCACCAGAAGGAGCTGGCAACACGCTCCACCGTTGTATTGACCCCATCATGACCTGCTAAAGCATGTTCATGCATTTTCCGTAAAAGTTCCCTGCGAAGCGAGGCCGGAATGTACAATCTGCGAACACCACGCTTTGTGTGATATCACAGGAGATTGCCATCGGTGCTGTAATGCTAGACCCGTCGCCCACTGTTGAGCTTAGCTAGGACTGCGGCCGCATGAGTATCTAAGGAATAAGAGGAACGCAATTTGGAAAGAAAACGAGAATCATCACAAAGAGGTGCGGTTGCAGAACAGTCTGCCTGGCCTTTAGGGCGTCTGGAGAAAGCGTCGGCGACCACGTTGGTGATACCCTTGATATACTTCACCGTCAAGTGACGGTGAAGTCGTACTGCGTGAGCCGGGAAAGCCACCGAACAATTCTTTCGTTATCGTAGTCTTGAAAACTCTTCGTCAGGTNGAGCCGGGAAAGCCACCGAACAATTCTTTCGTTATCGTAGTCTTGAAAACTCTTCGTCAGGTGTGTCAATTGTTGGTGATCGGTCTGGACCGCGAAGTACCTGCCGTACAGGTAATGTCGGAACTTTTTAACGCCCCACCAGACCGCGTAAAGCTCCTTTTCCCTGACCGGGTACTTTTGCTCCCTCTCTGTGAAACGGTGTGAGTAGCAAGCGATTATTTGATGCTTTTTCGATCCAATAGCCTGCTGAGAGAGCATATTCCCGACTGCGGTGTCACTGGCATCGGTCGTAAGGAAACAAGGTTTATCAAAATCAGGGAACGCGAGTACTGGGGATGATGTCAGGTGCCCGATGAGGCGTCAGGCGGCTTCGTCATCGTTCTCCGTCCAAATAAACTGCTCCTCCTTCTTAAGAAGACCAGTTAGAGGGGCAGCAATGCTAGCGAATCCAGGAATGAAATTGTGATGGTATGAGGCGAGCCCGACGAACTTCTGAACGTCCGTCCGCGTGTACAGCGGTAGCGGCCATCGCTGAATCGCCTCGATCTTAGCCGGATCTGGTTCAACCCCTGCTGCAGAGACATGAAATCCTAAGAAACTGATTGTTTGCATGAAAAACAAGCACTTCTGCGTTTTTACGAACCACTGCTTCTCACGCAGTAGTCGCAGCGCCCGCCGGAGGTGCTGCAGGTGCCCCTGCAAATTTCGGCTGAGCACAAGCACATCATCAATGTATATCACCATCAATCCCTCGGCGATTGGCCCCAGGAAGTCGTGATTGAGTTGCCGCTGCAGTTCAGTAGGTGGATTCACGAGGCCAAAGGGCATACAAGTGTACTCCAGCTTGCGAGGGCGGGTGTAGAACGCCGTTTTGTGCCTGCCCTCCGGGTGAATAGGGATCTGCAAAAAGGCCTCAGCGAACTCAAATGCTGAGTATACCGCCGAATCCTGTAAGCGGTCAAGGATTTCTTCCACCCTGTGCATCGGGAACTTCTGCTTCACTGTAATCTTGTTGGGGGGCTTGAAGTCGACGCACATGCGCCAGCTGCCGTCATTTTTCTTCGCCAGCAGGGGATTGTGCCCAGAGGCGCTAGTTGACGGCTGAACCTTGCCCTTTTTCAGAAGTTCTTCGGCCTGCCGCTCAATTGCCTCTACAAGGTGTGGGGGTCGTCTGTACCTTGGAACGAAGCTTCGGGCTGAGCCAGGGATGAGTTCGATGCTGTGCATAGGGCGTCCAGCGGGTGGCCTGCCTGCCGGTAGCTCTTTGTTATTGAATACACCTGAGAACTCTTCCGTCAATTTTGTCCACTTCTGCCGTTCCTCGGGTGTTAACTGGATCTATTCCCACAAAACTGCGGTATTTACCAGACAATCACGACGGAGTGAGTGCATGTCTCCATTATTCTCTTCAGTGCCTCTGCACTGTGCGGGAGCCTCGTCGCTCCCCTTTTCTTTGGACACAGTCTCCACACACCTGACCATAGAAGATGCAAATGCCGTTGGGAGAGCTGAGAGGGGCGCTCTCTCATCACTTTCAGGCGGAGTGACCTCTATGGCAGCATCAGAGGAACGCATTTGCGCCTTCCACTGGGTCACCCACGGCATGCCTAGGATTATGTCGTGGTGAACNGAGGAACGCATTTGCGCCTTCCACTGGGTCACCCACGGCATGCCTAGGATTATGTCGTGGTGAACAGGTCGAACGTAGAAGTCCCTAGTCATAGGAATGTGCCCTGTTTTGGAACTGATGGAGCATTTTGCGCACATAGTTTTGCCGATTCGAGTATCCTGCCTGCCATCTGCAACGCGTAGCCTCCGAGATTGCGCCAATGAGTAGACGGGTAGGCTGCATCGTCTTGCTATGGCTTCCGGTATCATATCCACTTCGCATCCCGTATCAAGTAGGGCCATTAAATCCTGCCCTTTACTCGTACTTGTACAAGTACTGAATTGACTTGAGGTAGGTCTTTAGGTGCGGCCGTTATCTCGCGTGGCCCTTTCACTGCGCCGCACGTTGCGTGGGGGCCCGGACGTTTCCTTGCTTGCTATGTTCGTTCCCTTGGCGGCGCCGTTCGGGATTTGGTTTCAATTGTTCTCTAGCCTCTTTCATAAGCCGGCAATCTCGAAATACGTGGCCCTGTTCACTGCAAAAGAAGAAAGTACGCCGTTTAGAGTCTCCGTCTTGCTTTCTGGGTGGTGAGTTCGCTATGTGCAGACGGTAGCCGCCTATAGCCCCGTCTTTAGCTGGTTTGGTGTTCACAGCCCCTATATCCATTGGTTCCAAATCGGGTTCATTCCCAGGCACGCGTTTTTCCTTTTCAGCTAAGGCTGTGGATGTGGCGTCTTTTCTTTCCATCCTGCAGAGGTATTCCATCATGTCAGCCAGTTGCACTTGTTCATCTCTCATTTCCCTGTCTGTGGCCCCGCCAATTACTGTTTGCCTCACTCCGGGGGACAGCCCCGCTATAAACCAATTGTAGTGGAACTCCGCACCCACCATAGGACTTCGGTTCACCAAGGACTGGTATTTCTCAATGTGACGCTCTATTGACAGTTTTCCCTGTTTAAGCTTTCTCAGTTCCGCCATTGCCTGCTTGCGGACTCCGGAATAAACCTGCAGAGTAGCGCGTCCCGGAAGGCGTGCATGGACCTGATTTGCTCCGGGAACCTGGAGCCGTTGCTTAAATGTAGCCACCATCGCCGTGAGTCCCCTTCTAACAACGAAGAGGCCAGGAGTAGTTGGAATTCTTCTGGGGCATTTTGTAGGCGGAGGTATAGGCCTAGGGAATTAAGGAAGTCCTCTACAGCCTCTACATATCGCCGCCCATCATGTCGCGTAGGACGGCACAACCGGAGGCACTCCTCTTGAATCGTTTTTGGCGGGAATGCATTTTCTCCAGGATTAGATGCAGAAATGGAGCTGGCTTCCGCTTGCTGGGCTTCCAGACCGTCCGTCGACCCCCCTGTTAGTGGCTCATAGTCAACCTCCATTTTGCTGAAGAGAACACTGAAATTGGGAGGGATTTTGTCTACGAAGGAAATGGGTTTTATTTCGATACAAATAAACGGAAAAAATGAATTTTATTTATTTTCGCGATCATTTGTTTTTTCAGCGGTGCTTGATGTCACCCGTGTGGGGATCGGGCCCGGGCTCGCACCTTGCCCCGATGAACCATGCGGTGCTACCA